TCCCAAAAAACTTCTTAGCTCTCCCACATTGTCAGGTGTTGGCAAATCACGCATTGCTTTCACTTTGCCAGGATCAGTTCGCACACCATGCTCACTTACAATGTGACCCAAGTAAAGCACCTATTTTTGGTAAAAGTGGCATTTCTTGGGATGGAGTTTGAGGTTTGCTGCTTTCAAATGCTTGAATACTTCCTCTAGCCGGGATACTTCCTCATCAAATGTTGCTGCAAACACAATGACATCATCCAAGTGCACTAGGGCTATCCTCCATTGTAGGCCTTCAAGTACTCTTTCCATCAGCCTCTCAAATGATGCTGGATCATCACACAGTATTGCCAGAGACCTTGGCCACAACTAGATGCAGTCTTAGGTTTATCTGCTTCAGCCATTTTCACTTGAAGGAAACCCGACTTTAAGTCCAGAGTTGAAAACCACCTGGCTCCACTTAGGGCATCAAGAGTGTCATCAATTCTTGGCAGTGGTTATGAGTCCTTTTCAGTTATATTGTTAAGAGCCCTGAAGTCCACAGAGCAACGTTGGGTCACATCATTCTACTGGACTAACACGACGGGAGCTGACCAGGGACTATCTGATTTCTCGACTATCCCTTCCTTAATTAGGCCATCCATGACCTTCTTCATCTCTTGTCGCTTTGTCAGAGCTATTCTCCTCAGAGGGATCTTTATTGGATGGTGATTGCCTGTGTTTATTCTATGCTCCACAAGGTCTGTGCAGCCAAGGTCATGATCTCCTTTTGAAAAGACGTCTGCATAATTCGCCAAAAGTTCCCTAATTTGAAGAGCCTGTGATGATGACAAATGGACTATGATCTTCTTATAGAGGTCAGTTAATTGTTCTGGGAGAATATGTACTTTCTTTATGGTTGTATTTTTTGCCTTAACATTGACTAGCTGTACCTCCTGGCACACACCCAACAATGCCTCTTCCTTAAGTGTCTGCTCACATTTAGATAAATTAGCTACTTTTATGGGCACTACTTGATGACCTGCCACAAGTGACCTTCCAATCTTCACGTCTGCTGGCCTGGATAGGTCTTCCACTGCTTCCACTAGCATTGGGCTTCCTTGGGGATGTTCCTTTATTTTACCCCAAATTATCCCCTCTGACATAGGGGGTATTGTAGTTTGCTTAAGTGCTGTGACATGCAAATCAACGGATGCAGCAACACTTACTGGAATTTGGCCTTTGTTGTTCCCAAACGTCATTTTATCAAAGTTTAGACACTTCCTTGGTAGTAAGTAGTCCAACCCTAATATGCATGTGTCTTCAATGTCAACCAAGTATAATTTATGTCTGTCCTTTATGCCCATGATCTCAATAGTTACCCCCACTGGTCTGGAAGGGGCTGATTAGGTCCATGGCAGTAAATCGTCCTTTAATGTATTTAATTCACATTGGAATTTACTAATCTTTTCCATTTGTACTTCATGCTGATGTTGTACTCTCTCTTCTTCTTCTTCTTGCTACTGTTGCTGAGTTTCCCGCAGCTGTTGAAGACTTCCTTCCTGTTTCTTTTCTCGTTCTTCTTTCCTTTCTTGTTTCAGTTGCCACTGGTGCTGGTTTTCTTGCCACTGCTGTAATCTTTCTTCTTATTTATTTTTTTTCTCCTCCTACTACTGGTGTAGTCTCTTTTCTTGTTTATTTTCTTTCTCCTCCAACCACTGCTGTAGTCTCTCTTCCTGTTTATTTTCACTTTCTTCCTGTTTCTTTTCCTGTTCTTGTATTGCTGGCATCAAATCTGCTAAGTTGTAGTTTGGTTTGCCACTTCTCGTTTCCATCTTTTTTTTCCGTCCCACTTTCTGACACCAATTTGTTGCGTATCTGCTTGTTTGTTTGTTTCCAGTAGAAATTCTTCCGAGGATCTTCAGTGATACAAATCCTTTCTTGATTAAACCAGCTTATTCGTCCTCAATATAAACGTTTAGTACACTGAAGTTCCACAATCAGTACATTTCTTGTCACTTTAAACTTAAAAACTTTTATAAAAGACGCTATAAATCACAGCGATTCACAATCTCAATAACTTCGCTCTCGACGAGTGCAAAACACACACTTTACAGCTCACTAGCTCAAAATTAACAGAATCATAAATTACACGGTATTCAAAGTAACTACTGCTCTATTTTCATTCATTCCTGCTAGCTTTCTTTGCCAGGCTTATATACTAACGAAGAGGGTATCTCAAACACACTCGGACTTCCCGATCATTCGAGAAACTCATCACACAGGCTACCAGCGCCAACGCGCCTGCAGCGTCACGTGACTTCCGCTGTCGTAACAGTATATATGTATATTTGTGTCATGTGTAGTATCAAGACCATTGTTTATATAGTGTGTAGATTTGTAATTTTAGTGTTTAAATTAAGTTAGGGTAATGTTTTTGTTTTATTCTTGTGTACTATAGTGCATTAACAATCCCCTCCTAAAGGAATAAACGATTTTGTGTAAGGGTTGTGTTTTGACAGAATATGATTTCTAGCTACTGTGTTATTTGGTTGCACTTTTTTATATCTTATCTTTTCGATATTAAGAGAAAACTGGGGAATTATTGTTAGTTGTATCTCACTTTTAAAGTGCAATTTTAACACTTTGTTATACTACTGTTACGACAGCGGAAGTCACGCGACCCTGGAAGCATGCCCGCTGGAGTTTCTAGAAGAATCATGTCTCTTCCTGGCAACTCTAGTCTTTTCTACGCGCCCTCTATTTTAGCATATAAGCAGGCAAATAAATTAAATTGCAGACAGGCAGAGATAAAGACGGACAATTGAGTCAAGCGCGGTAGTGACCGTAAGAAAGTGCGTGAATCATTGTGAATTATAGCGTGTATTTAAGTTAAAGTGACTGTGGAAATTAAGTGTATTGCAAAGTTGTATTAAAAAAGAATAAACTAGTTTTATTTAAGAAAGGACTTGTATCGCTGAAGTTTTTCAGAAAGAATTTCTATGGAAAATTAACCAATGACCAGAGACATAACACTAGTTACTCATAAAGGGTAGGTGAATTTTGTTAGCCGTTTTTCTTTTAGTGTTTTGTTTTGATTGTGTTTTGTGTGTGTGTGTTTGTTGCTGTTTATTTGCATGCTTGTTTCTGAATTTCGCGCAAAGCCACTGGAAGCGCTAACCTACTGTTCTGAGTAAAATCCGTGAGCCCGAAAATTCCGGAACAGGTAACTAGAGCGACAGGAACTTAACCACATTTCTTGACAAATGTTTTATGGTTAAAACTACACGCATGGCTAAAAACATATTGTTACGACAGCGGAAGTCGCGTGACTCTAGTAACACGTCATGAACTTCTAGAAGGATCCTGTCCGTTCCTGAAATCTCGAGACCCTACTAGATATGCGGTAGTCTTTTATATATAAGACGGTCAAGACGTGACGGCAACAATGTAAACTGTAATTGACAGTTGAGTCGAGCACATGAGACGTTCGTTGTGAATCATAGCGTTTGTTATAGCGCGACTGTGGAAATTAAGTGTATTGCAAAGTTGTATTCAGAAAGAATAAACCAGTTTTACTTAAGAAAGGACTTGTATTGGTAAAGTTTCTTCGGAAAGAAATTATACGGAAAATTAACTAACGACCGGAGGCGTAACAATATAATTACGAACAATTTTGAAAATTCTTGATGAACTGAAGCGTTCACCTTTCTAACTAAATATGGTTAAAAGTTCGAGATATGTGCTTTTATACATGAAGTGCTGTCATAGATGAATTGTGAAACACGTTTAATTTTTTTTTTCTAATGTTAAAACTGGTACATAAAACATATTTATATGACATAAAATATGAATATATTTATATTAACTATTGAATAAATTTCTTACATTTTACATTTAAATATGTTCTACATTGGACACTACATAATTATATATTTTTTTACGTTCTAAATATATTTTATAATATGCTAATTAGTATGAACGTATTTTTCAAAAATATTAAATACATAAATATTTCTTAATTATTTGAATACAAAGTTTAATAATAATAGTGTTGTGAAACATGGCAATGAAAATTTTAGTTTGTCATGCTGTCTATTTCATTTTCATTTGAAACACAACATTATTCCCTAAATCATTTTATAGGTCTATTCGCTTTAATTAACTACAAAATACCTGTCAATCTGAATTTTTTTCATTGAATGATTCTGCCCCATATTTCTTTTAATGAAAGACTTAGTACTTTGGCACTAATTAAATTTTAAATCAGAAAAACTAATTCCAAAACGAATTTTAGTCAAACGCAGTAAGTGGCATATGATTAAATAATTCCACAAGGTGTCTCTTTGCTCACTATAGTATAATACTGATACGAAAAAGTGAATATGGCTAACGTGAACCGTAAATCTGAAGATGAATTTGGGGAAAAATGGGAAAACTGTCTTGCTGATACATTTATCAAAATGGGTAAGTACTGCAAGCTATTTCCTTGGTACGGTAGACGAAAGCACGTTAGAAGCAGTAATTAGGTTAAGTTACCCTCTATGACCCAGATTCGGAACACCATGGATTTGTGGGTGAGGGCTAAAAGATGCTCTATGACAGCGTTCCATTTCGATATTAGTGCCGGCTCGCTGCCTCCGTACACTGTCGCGGACTGCTAAAATGTGAGAACAACAACAACAACAAAAAAAAAACATTCCGATTTATATGTGAATAATTTGCCAGTTTTGTTGTTGTTTGTTTGTTTTTGTTTCTGGTAAATCCCACGTGCCGGCAATATGGTTGGTGACCCATGATTGAGAAACACTGCTGTATGTGTATCTAAATCTATGGCATAATAATAATACTAATAGTGAGTTATACTTGTAACTTAGGGTAGTTAGAATAGTATGGGCAATTAGAATAGTATCTTCAGCACCCTATGGTCTAACAAAAAAAATTACATTTGAAATTAATAAGAATCCTTGACCTCGTAAAGACATTTGATATTACTTGGTTTGTAAAGTACCAGATTCCATAAGAAAAGCTCAGTGATGTGGAACTTGCTTAAACAGCTCAAGTTAAATGTGCTGTTTATATTAACTTAATTAAGGTTTAGGGTTTTGCACCCCGTGAGGTTGTTTTTCAAAAGGAGGTAGGTTATTTGGTGAATTGGGTGAATAAATGGCAGATGACTTAATTATAACAAATGAAAGTTGTAAGGTAATGTAAATCATAATTTAAGTTTTATAAAATAGTAAGTATGAGTTTGATAGGAATAATCTTAACACTAATAACAGTTTTATGGAAGAAAAGGATCTTAGTGTTATGATTTATCACTGTCAGTATCAGTCTCTTAAGCTATCAAAGCAGTATGCTATTGTTAGTGGTGGGGCGAATAGGATTTTAGGTTGAATCTACAGAAATGTTGAATACAAGGTAAATAAGCTATAATTTTATTGTGTAGGTCGGTAATTAGACCACATTTGAAATATTGTGTTCAGTCTTAGGATCCTTACCTTCAGAAGGACATTGAGTTATTGGAAATGGTTTAAAGGAGGACTACAATGGTGTCATACTATACAATACAACTCTTGACGAGTATTTTGATTTAGAAACTCGCATGATTAAGGTTTATTCATTGAGTGAATGATAGTAAATTTTGACCTAGTGGCTGAGATGTTAAGTAACTAAATTAGACTTTAATAGTGGGTTTAAAAGGTTGTTAACACATGATTGTTGAGTGACTAGCTTGGCTAGAGCATGTAGTAAGCATGGCTAATGAAGTGAAATGAAAACCTCAAGAGTCCAGGAAAGTTTTGAGTTAAAGACAGGAAGTCAGGCTGTCATACTAGGACAGGTTAAGATCTTTTATATTGTTTTTCTCATGAAAAATTAAGTGTTATAGGGGATGTGATTGAGGTGTTTAAGATAGTTAAGGAAATTGGTAATGTTGATTCTTCATCTCTTTTTGTACTGAATGGTGAGAATGTTAGAACAATGGGACACAAATGTAAATTTTGGCAGTTTACAAGTCATCTTGAGCTAAAACAGTTTTATTTCTTTAACAGTTGTAATGGGTTTCCCTTCAGATGTGGTAGATCTCATAAATTTGAGGAAAGGCTTGATAAATATTTAACTGATAATGGCTGCCTTTGACTTTGAGTGTTTTTAGGTTTAGTTTAAAGGGTGATGCAGTCAAAATATAACAACAGGTACCTTGTCTTTTATATTTTATGTTATATTAAATATGAGATACAAATTATAATAAATGCATTACCTTGCTCCTACTGTAATTAAATGTCATGGTTAATGTTTTCTTGTTTCAACTTTTGCAGTTATATTGTGACTAGTGATTAACAATAAATCTAAAATGGCATCCATCCTAGTTGGCACTCTGACCATGTGGTATAGTAAACCATCCTGTATTACATCATGAAATGTCTCTTAATTTATCTAAATCATTCAGAAGCAACTCAACAATTAGAAATATCTAGGTGTTTAACATTAAACTTCCCAAATTACTAATTATACTCCTATCAGTATATAGATTTAGGATTAGCCTAAATCTTATAAGATGGTCAAACCTCATAGGATATTATTGGTGCCTGGTTGAATGTATAGTTAATAATGAGAGTATCAAACTGGTAAAAAAATGAAATTCTTTACAGGCAAGAATGTACGAAAGGTATATTTAATAGTTGTACTCATTAACATGTTGATTTTTTGTTTTGGTCTAAGTAGATAGTTTTCTCTAATTGGAAACTAATATCATCAATGTAAGTAAGCAAAAGCAAAGGCCCAAGAACTGACCTTTGAGGCACTCTTCCAGTGAAAAAAAAAAGGTTCCCTTTGACTGGAATATTAATAACAACCTATTGATTTTTCCCATTCAACCACCCTACAGCCCAATTTAAATAGTTTTTTTCCCTAACCCCCCCTTACATACAAAAATTTAAGGACAATAAGGAACCTGTTGGTCCATCTGTGCTACTCAATCAACTATATTAAACTCTAAAATAAAAGTAAAACATAAAGTAAAAAGCAAAAGTAAAAGTTAGCCTTGATCATTCACATCATAATTCTTGTCTCATCTCTTCAAAATTTACTTTTTTTTAAATTTGGAACCAAAATATCTTTATTCTTTATCTCAATATGTAGCATAACATCAAATGTAGGTGAGAAATGATAACTTGCACCAGATGTTTCCCAATCTCCATCCTATCAACAATTTTGATATTGGAAATTAACAAATCTGAAATAGCATTTTTTTTTATTAGGTTCCCTGACCAATTGGTGAAGGAAACCATACTGGCTTCTAAAAACCTGTTTCCCTCATGGTTTTACTCCAAAATTTTCTAATCTATATTCTTGAACATAAAATCCTTATAGTTTTAGTCTCGTTAACAAATTCATTCTTCATCTGACTGTAGTTTCTCATTAATTGGATCAGTTTCATCTGGTCCCAGTATCTGAAACATATTCCAAATAAAGTCCATCTTCCCTTATAACCACCAACAGAAACTCAAATAGATTTAACTTCATTGCTATTAATCTTGATACCCTCAACTTGAATAAGATGCAACTCATTTTTCATATAAAGCTACTCCTCACCTGTTTTTGGTAATGTGTCACAATTAAACAACCTATAATCCTGTATTTCAAAGACATTCAGGTTATTGAGTTTGTCTACATTTAATCTAGTTTCAGTTAGTCCCATTACATCAAAATCTTCCATTTCAGCTAGTTCACTATTTTATTTCTTATACATCTAGCATTGCAATAACATCAGTTTAGCCTACCATTAAACCTACCTCTGTATGTTGTTGCAACACTATAATTTTCTCTACATCTTATTATTTCTTCATTATTCTGACCCTCATCACTTTCTAGTTTTAGCTTAAAGCTACCTTTACAGTTAGTCCTTGTAAAGAAGCCAGCACTTACACTATATAAATGTAAACCATCTAATTCAAAGAACTTCCTTTTCGCATTGAACTGACCCGAAAAATCCAACCATCCAACCTGCTTGCCCTTATATATTAACCTCAGTCTAGCATTCAGCTTTAGTGACCAACTTATAATTTAATCCCCACAATTATGTCTTGGCAGTATTCTTGAAAGAATTAAGTTATTATGGCTATTTTTGTACAGTGCCTTTATCATTTCCTTTTACTTATCAATTAGCTCCTTTGACCTGCCTGTCTCTACATCATTAGCTCCTATGTGCACTAAAAAAACTGCATCTCTGTCAGCACCTATACCTTATCACTTACTGTGTCAGTTATATCCTCTACCCATGCTTCTGAATAGCATAATCTTATTCATCCTTTAACACTTTAATCCTAATACCTTATTTACCAATTTTATTACATCACCTTATTTCACTTGTAATTAACACACATTATCACAAACAGGAATATTAATCAGGTCTTTAAACAGAGATTTAATGAGGCAACTTACTGCCAAGGGCTAGCCATCATATTTGTGCCCCCTTTAAATATGCTATGGTAAACCATTTTAATAATGTTTCTGCCCCTCTTGATTTTGTACCTGGGGTAACTGTCCCACTTGCCCTGTACTAAAATGTTATGTTGTGAAAGCCAAAGAGAATATTTAAAAATTTCATTTTTCATATTATACAACAAAAGCTATATCCTTAGTAAGTTTTAACCTCTTATTGTCACATGGGTCATATATGGCACATGCCATTTGAACAGCATTTACTCATAGTTACACATGCAAACTGGAGATATCTGGCTCACAATTCAGAGGTTGGGAATTTCTTACTTGCTTTGTATTTTCCATTCAAAACACCAAATAAATACTTTCTGAATGACTTTCAGTTTTTTATATCATGAAGTTGATTTTGGTCTAAAAGAGGTTAAAGGCCAAATTACAATTTTTGTTATTTTACCTAAATTTAACATATTGTTACTTATCTGCTTGTTTGTTTCCAGTAGAAATTTCTCTGAGGATCTTCAGCGATACAAATAGTTTCTTGATTAACCCAGTTTATCCTTCCTCGATACAAACTTTGTAATACACAGAATTTCCACAGTCAGGACGTTTCTAAACTTAACTACTTTTGTAATGCATGCTATAAATCACAGTGGTTCACACACTTTACTTACTGTGCCTACTGTTTGCTTGACTCAATTATCTATCTATCTCTTCAATCTATATGCATATCTATCTATATCACTTCAATTACGCTGGTTTTTCTCCCCAGGATTATATACTAAAAAAGAGGATGCTTCGAACAAACTAGAGTTGCCAGGAAAATTCATGATCCTTCAGGAAACTTCAGCGTGCATGCTCCTAGCAATGCGTGACTTCCGCTGTCGTAACAATATGTTAAAAAATTCTTGCAGTTTTGACATCATTAACTAGGTATTTTTCATGACACTTTTTTGGATATTTGGTTTCTGTTTTTTAACCGAATTCCTAGCTTTTCTGTAGATCTATTTTACATCTTATCTTTCAATTGAAACCTCATTGATTTTCTCCTTTCTGTCTTCAGTAAGCTAGTTAGGAATATATCCCAAGGTTGTTCCATCCCATCTTTTAACCCATTATCCCAATTCAAGATTGGTAAATTCTAATTTGTAACTAGTGCTGATGATTATCACTTTTGCAATTCTATTATCAATGTGATATTATTAGATAATTACAATTATTATTTTTAATTAGATCATTTTTAGAAGAAAAAAATATAATAATATAAGATGTCATAGAATGAAGAATAGTAGTATGATATCAAGATTTATTTCATCAATAGATAAAAAAAATTGTAATTAATTTTGCTTTGTTGTCTTCTGTGAATAAGCATTATAAATATGAAAGAGTTTGTGTGTACATATATATATATATATATGTGTGTGTGACTGTACAGTATATATTAATATGATCACTTACCTCATATTACTGACTAATAAGTTGTTTTTCTGACTAAAATTCGATGTTGTGCTGTACTTGTGAAAGTGTTGTCATGTGTCTGACAAACAACATGTATCAGTCCATCTGATATTTATTCTGGGAGCTGTATTTTGAATTGTTGAGCATGTCTTTATACTTCAGAGTTCCCACAGTACTATGGATCCATTGATATGCAAGTGATCTCTGTTCCTACCCAATTAAATCAATTAACCTGATACACTGATCTTGTCTGGAGTAAAGATAGTCATAAAAAGAATACAGTTTGAATGTTCCGAATTTAATATATTTCTTTAACATATTTTTAGTGCACGGTTCAACATTTAGAAGAAATAGAAGGTTATGTTTTTTCTGTAAGCCATGCAGGTGTGGATTTGATAATGATGACAGTAGTGGCCATGAGTGCTTCTCTGTGAGTGAACACACAAGTGGCACTTAGTTTTTATGTACTAATAAAGTTCAAATGAAGTTATTAAGTAATAGTATAATTGTGATTTCAATGTTTAATTTCATAGTGGAAATATAATCAAAATGTTGATTAATAGCTCAGGACCATGCATGATTTCAAATTGTCTTTCTGAAAAATAGAATTTGTATTTCCTTGTTGTTGTTGTTGTTTTTTTTTACAAACTCTCTAGATTTCTTGTAATTCTATATATTTTCCATTTTGAAATTTTTAAACAAATTGTATTATTTAAATTGATATATAATTGAATGTGATAATTTTGTAGGTGCTGGTCTTGGTGTAGGGATCATATTTTCAGTATTCATGTTCAAGCGTAAGTAGCAGCAACTATTTGTTATTTATTTATTTTGCAGTAGAAAATCTATTTGCATAATTGTTTTTCAAATTATACATTGATGTCTTCTTAATTTTATCAGTTTTAGACAATTTTTTAGGTTTTTCCACTTATCTGTACTTGTTTTCTTTTTGTTAGTTTGCATTAACGAACTAAGTATATCATTTGTGAAGAATGGGTAGTATTTGTTACAATGTTGTATTCAAACATTTAGAAATAGTTATGAAATTTTCTCCCACTTTCTAAAAAAAAAAGGGGTACCTTTCAAAAAGACTAGTAAAACCATCTTCAGATATTTAATATCATATAACAACATTATAAAATATGTTCAAGCAGACAGAGAGATGGCCTTGTCAAAATGTTTTAATTTCAGCTCTTTTTACAGTAGGTTTACTTGTAAGTCTTCCAGGTTCAAGTGCTGTTTTAATGACTGATGTCATCTCTTGAATTGTGACTGAAGTAATTGCTTCTTTTTATATTATATTTTCAGAAATAATGCAGAAAACCATTCAGAATTTTGATTTCAGTTTACTGATTATACCAGTAATGTGTGTACTAAAGCATGTGTGTAAATGTGTGTGTGTCTATACATATATATATTGGTGTACTTTGGTGACAGATTTTCTTGTAGGCAGATTTTGTTAAACAAGACCGATGTTTGTAGGCTTACTTTCTTCTTAGAATTCTTCTCAAGAAGTCGATAAGCCATCTTAACGTTGTTAGAACAACGGGTAAAAGTTGTAGCTAGTGATGAGTTGGCCGACGTGTTTCGAATGCGTTCTGCATCCATTATTAGGGCTGAATGTTGTGTGAATTATGATTACTGTTGGTGGATATTCATAGGTATGGGTAAGCAGGTGGTGGTATCTAGCTCGTGGAAGGCGTTAATTTGTGGAGTGTTGT